TCTTTTGCAGTTATTATAAATCATCTTTGAGATCTGTCTCTCTATATTACCTGAACCCTTTTAAAAATGCTTAATTAAAACACAATTCTCCTTCTAGTTACCTTTACTATATTTTGCAACTCACATTTGTTGCAGTCATTCATTTTGCATCAACCTGTATTCAATTCACTTATAAAAATTACTATTATAGATCTTTTCTTCAAAAGGATTCACTTTAAGACTTCAATCTTTTGACCTTGTTTTTTATCTCTTATTTCTCAGACCAAAAATTGTCACTGTCGTCATTTAAACACTGATCTATTTTCAAACCAATATTATTACCAGAAATGTGTTGTCATTTTATCACATTTTTAAACACCTTCTCGGTGGTAATTTACAGTTACCTACTAAATTGTCCTGATGACCACCATTAAAACACTCTCTGTCATCTAGTGAATCTGTTTCAGCCTCAACTTCAGCATCAGACACCTGTCCTTGACTATAGTTTGATCACTGTGAGCTTGCAAACGGCTCCAACTAACTGCACACTCTTGAAGCAGTGTGTCCCATTCAGGAATGTAAACAGACCCACTGATAAGCAGTTCTCTGTATTCCTTTGACCATCCACCAATGGCGGATTCAAATCACAATAGCCAAATCATACTCTTTATCATTATTATTGGCAGAACATAATTTCATGAGCAGCACAGAAAATGCTCAAAATATTCGAATTTGTTTTCTGTCTTTACCTTAGTAATTTGGTATTATCATCAACAACACTAATTACAAGTACTGTTGCTGTTATCCCCGCTTATCTTTTACAAAACATCATCTGCAAATCTCTTCAAAGTGAGATCTTCAGAGCAGAGCTGTTTACAGCATTTGCTCTCTTCTGTCTCTCTATTTATTTATCTATTTATTTATTTTCCCGGACTGTTCAGTTACTCTTCATAAAGTGTAACAATTTGTACATCATTATTTTCATTACAACTGGTTTGAAGCCTTTTTCCTTCCATCACATGGTTAGTCTGCAGATTCAACTTAATATTATCATTATTGTCTCAGTCTTATCTCTACTGTTTCTCCAAAACAGATTATATTACTCAGTCCGTAAATTACACAGACAACCATTATAGCTACTTGCTTCAATACCCTTATTTTCTTAATCTTAATAGAATAAAGCAGATATATCATCATTATTTTATCAAAATCTAGAATTGTTCCCCATTCTGCTTAAAACATTCTTCATATCATGTTAATCCCTGTCAATCATACAATGCCTTATTTTATTCTAAAACTTTTCATATCATTTAAACAGTTAATTTGACTTCTATAAATTCTGTCAGACATTTTATTTTCATCACATATAGTTTTCTACTATATTTCTTCTCAATCTTTCCCTACATGCCAGTTCCTTCATTATCCTCTCCTTTCTTTTCCCTACATGCCAGTTCCTTCATTATCTAACCAGTACATGATTGTTTGCTTACAATCCTTGTCATATAAATTTAAGTTCTATAGACATCCCATGTCATGCATCCATTATCTGTTCACATTTTTACACACATGTTGAACGCAGCCACAACAACCTTTTGTCCCGCTGCCCTGTTCCACTGATTCTCGCACACTCTTAGTCTATTTGTGCTCATGGTAGCTCATGATCATGGTATTTTCTCAGTTTTTTCCCAATATCTAAAACATACATTTCCCCCCATACTTTCCTAGTTCTACAGAAAACCGGTGTATCAAATTTCGCAAGCTTGCTTTTGAGACATCCCCATACTGGCTGTTTTCTGTTCTCTGTGGATTTCTCTTCAACGCGCGTTTTCTTTAATCTGCTGGGCGTCCCCAGCAAATCCGATTCTTTTCTTTTAACCCAAATCGGTCGGGTTGCACTATTAGTGCCCTCCTAATTATGGTTTACCAAAAAAATTCTGGTTCCCCCTAATTAGCCTCAGCACCTAAAAACAATTTGCTCCGTCCGTGGAACAACTCATTTCCAGGTTGCCTATCTGTTTGAAATCTCTTGGTCTGTTACAGTTCTCACTTAATCCCAGATTATTTATCTGCTTGAAATTTCTTGTTCTGTCACAGACCTCAATTAATCTCAGATAATTTTCTCTCGTATCTGTTTGAAACCTCTTGATCTATATATAGATCTCAATTAATCTCAGATTACGTACCACAGAAACAGCCCTCAGCCAATATGGTTCAATTTCACTCTTCTCCCCAATTAAACTGAATTTAATTAACTTACCCAAAAGAAAATAAATTGAACTGTCTCTTACCAGAGATGCTTCTGTTGCCACCTGCGGGTTCTTTAGATTCCAGTGGTCGATTTCTCCCGGCCCTGATATCGGTCGGCCCCTCTCTCTCAAGTTTACGAGGTAGAGCTGGAACTTACTTAGTCCAGGTGGCCAAACACCGTCCGATCTCAGGTCCAGGAGGCACGTCCAAGGAATATCACTTCTGACACCAAAACTGTTGTGGCAAAAATTCATCTCGAGCAAACATCACTGCGTAAGAGACAGTCAGAGTCAAATTATATAAAATAGAAGTATTTATTCTTGCAAGAATAGGAGCAGTCTAATACACAGTTGTTACCCTGTGCAGAAGAGTGACACACCCCCAGACAGACTGAACCAGCTTTTATCTAAGTTTCAAGGCCTTCTTTCCCCCAGAGCCTTCCTCCCAGTAGTTTTCCATAGACTAAGCCCCCCTGCACCAAATGGCCTTCTGACATCTAGGTCAGAGGTCCCTGTTCGTCTGCTCCCTGGAGTGTCTCCCCCTTCTGCTTCCCCAGGTACATAAACAGAATCTTGTCTCACTACAAGTGAGAGACACACATGTGACATTCTTTGAATCATCTATATTTTACACATTGAATAGGTTCTCTCTCTTATGATATCTGTTAGGGATCAATGACTATTAAAATTTCCACAACACCAGGCCATCACTGTCAAACACTTTCAAAGAGTTCTGGGCCTCATGGCTGCAGCTTCCATCGTAGTGCCTTTTGGTCTGCTCCATATGAGGGCCTTGCAGTGGTGGCTCAGGACCAAGTGGTTTTCTCCGTTGGGGAACCCCTTTCGCATGATCAGAGTTACGCGCAGATGCCTTCGTGCTCTTGTCATGTGGAAGAAACCATGGTTCCTGTCTCAAGGCCCGGCTTTGGGAGGACCATGTCAGAGAAAAACGTTGACTACGGATGCGTCCCTCATGGGCTGGGGTGCGGTTATGGAGGGCTGTTACACCCGAGGTACTTGGAAGGACCATCATCTCTCATGGCATATTAATCGCTTGGAGATGTTGGCCGTATTCTTTGCCCTGAGGCACTTCCTTGTAGACCTCAGAGGCCATCATGTCCTCAGTAGGACAGACAATATGTCGGTGGTCTCTTATATCAACCGCCAAGGAGGCCTGAAATCACGCCCTCTTTCTAGACTGGCGCATCAGATTCTTCTATGGTCCCAGGATAAATTTCTCTCTGTTAGATCTATTTATATTCCTGGGGTTGATAATGTGGGAGCAGATATCCTGTCGAGGCAGGGGCTGAGGCCGGGGGAATGGGGCTCCACCCTGAAGTAGTTGAGCTCATATGGAGAGAGTTTGGCCGAGCGGAGGTTGAACTGTTCGCCTCTCATGAGAACTCCCACTGTCCGCTCTGGTACTCTCTCACATCCAGCTCCTTTGGGCCTGGATGCCATAGTATAGATGTGGCCAAGGTCACGTCTATACGCTCCCCCCCCCCCCCCCCGATCGCTCTGCTCCCTGGGGTTCTGGAAAGGGTCAGGAGGTACGGCGTGAGTTTACTCCTTGTAGCTCCGTACTGGCCGAATTTGGTTCTCGGACCTTAAAAGTCTCTTGGAGAGTCCTCCCTGGCGAGTCCCTATTAGGAGAGATCTTCTTTCCCAGGCCGGTGGTACAATTTTTCATCCACGGCCGGAGTTATGGAGACTATGGGTCTGGCCCCTGAGGGGGACCAAACCATAAATAGGTTGCCCTTTCCATCGAGGTGGTTAGGTCATCCATTCTAGAACCCCACTCTACTAGGAACTAAATATTTTTAAGAAAAGTTAGGTACGGCTTTGAACCCAGCTAAATACTGCCCACTGGCTTCAGTACTGGCATTCCATCCTGTTCTCTAACGGGACCTCCCGTTCATGCTTAGGGCCTCTGTGGCGGCCTCAGTGCCCTCCGCAAGCTTCTAAGGGTGAGCTCGTAGGGACATTCCCACTAAAAAACTCCATGTTCCTGTAGATTGGAGGATGAATCCTGTCATCTAGCCTATTGGCATCAGGCGGACGGGTTATCCCTGGCACCCGTCATGTCCTGTGGATGAGTTATATGAGAATATATATAAGAATCTTTTGAGTCTGCTTCCTGCTCGTCCTACTCCCTGGAAGAGCGGTGGCGTTGCCCCCTCTTACTCGAGGGCGTGGGAGCCACTCAATCTTATTTCTGCCTCGACACTGAGGTGCCTGTAGGCAATATCATGATTCATCAGGTAATCCATCCTCCATCGCATGTGTCGGATGGTCAAGGTCATAGCCTTGGAGGCCCCTATGTTAGGCCTCGGGCTGGGAGGAGTTAAAAGGAGTTCTCTCAGTGTGGCGGCGTGGGTATTCGTTCCCCAAAGTGTTGAGTATCGATGCAGCGGGAGTTCCCTTACGAAAGGGAATGTCTCGGGTTACTATTGTAACCCTCGTTCCCTGAGTAGGGAACGAGACGCTGCATCCCTCGGCAATACTTTTCGCGCTCCTGAGAATGACTTGCTTCGACCCTTCAAAAGCTGACGCGGCTATGTTCCGATGTCCTTTTATAGCTTCCGGATCACCGTCACATGCAACGTGAAGAAAGACATAGCACCAATCATGATTGGAGTAGTTCCACTACAGACTTCAGACACATCATGTCGATGGCATTCCCCAAAGTGGCGAGTATCGATGCAGCGTCTCGTTCCCTACTCAGGGAACGAGGGTTACAATAGTAACCCGAGACGTTTTGTTCATATAACTCACTCCAGCCGAACACAATGATCTTCCTCATGTAGTTTGTGATGGTGACGTTCTGTCTGATGAGCCATAAGTACATATGAAGAGCTTGAATGAAGAACCAGGTGAATGTAGCCAGCATTGAGTAATGCATGAGCAGCGCTATGAAGACACACGCAGCCTTGTCTTCTGTGTTGGCGACGCTCTCGTTTGACAAAAAGGATAAATTCAGGAGAAACAAAGCCACAAACATGTTTATCAAGATCTTCGTGGCTTGATTTGATTTGGCTTTCCTGTTCAAAAATAAAAACAACCTGTATTTGTAACTGCATTTATGCATTTTGCAGATGCTTTTATCCAAAAGAGGAACAAAAGCAGCTGGTCAAAAAACTTAAAGTAACTGTATGTTATATTTTAAGATACTCTACCGTAATAGGAAATGCATGAACAGAGCGACGGATAGAAAAAACATGGAGATGCCACAGCCGATAGAAGAGATGAAGCTCAATGATTCCACATACGAAGCTGTGATGTTTGGATTTACATCTGGAGGAGACTGAGCAGAGAAAACAACCCTTTTAAAACCCTATTAGCAAGAATCAGATCTAGGGCTGTCACTAACGATTATTTTGGTAATCGAGTAATCATTTGATTATTTTGACAATTAATCGAGTAATCTGATATTTTTTGTGCTAAGAAAAATAGACCTAAGAAAATACGTAAGCCTTTAAAATGACTTAAATAATAACAAAGTGGCAGTAATATTTGGTTCAAATAAAGTATATAAAAGCAAGTAATCAAATGGTTTTATAAAACAGCACTTTTAAAATACATAATGTTTATCTTATTCACATTATGTATTATAACAAATGCCTGCAGAAGGGCACCAACGGCCTGGTGTTGTTACACTTTACAGCAGATCAAATAATTGTTTCATATTAGCCAAACAAAAATTAATTAATGTTTACTTAAATTTAATCTCACAGGGCACATATTTATTTTATTGAATCACAGCCTCTGTGAATTCACAATAGCACTATGCCATAGTATGCTTTTTAAATTGTTTTAATACATCGTGCAGCCTTAGGCTGCGTTTACACTTGGCATTAACATGCGACCTGTATCCAGATGGTGTCCACATACACATTGAAAAGACGAGTGTAAACGCGCTTCTGATCAGAATGTTATCCGAGGACGCATTGTGATCGGATCTCAGTGTAATGCAAACGCGATCCAGCCATCGTGTCTGCATTCACAGGTGGACATCATATAAATCCCCGCCCAGTTTCCCCACGTGGCTGTCAGAAAATAATGTCCAGACGCAGTTTAGACAAGAAATTAAACTTATTTGAACCTTACAATAAACGTCAATCTTTAAAACAGTTTATTTAGACTTACATGATACTATGCGTGTCATTTTTCATTTTAATTGTGCAACATTATCTGAACGAGGCGCTCGCCTGTACAATAGGGCTGGGCGATATATCGATATAAAAAATATCACGATATAGTTCAAATATGCCCTGTGATCCTTGCTCCAAGCAAGCTGTTGACCCGGAGCTCACTGCACTGGTGCAGAAGCACCAGCCGCAAGCCATCGACAACACGAAACGGTGTTTCCGCTATACTAGGGGTGTGCGATATGACGATTTTTGATCGTGGACGAATAAAATGTCTCCACGATCTGCTTTTGAAGAAATATCGTAGTATCGTGCATTCTATCAGTTGCTGTTCTGGCGCCTCTGGCCCAACATGCTGAACAACGCGACGTATATTCACATAAAATGTTAACGCAGCGGAACGAGACACTGCAGTTCACAAAAGTTCATAATTTGCATGTGCTTTAATGCCTTGTCGGTTAAACATTTATTCGCGTGCTGATGCGCTGTTCTAACGTGTGCGTTTCTCAGCGCGTACATGTGAAGCTCACATGCACTAAAAGCCTGTCTACCAGCGCCTGGATACTGGACTAAGTTATCTTTCGAGTCTTATTGTGCTAATACTAGGGGTGGGAGAAAAAAATCGATCCATCGATGCATCGCGATTCTCTCTCCAACGATTCTGGATCGATTCTGAGAATTCCAGAATCGATTCTTAACTTAGTTTTTAACCAGATGTGCGATGACGTTGAGTTTGCTTTAGAAACACCCGTATTCTGCTTGCTTCCAATTCCTCACACACATACACCACTCGAACCTTCCGTAAATAATCTTTCATAAAGTTCGGAAAGGTTGAAGCGAATTACAAGGACATTCACAGACTTCATTGCACAGGATACGCTGTGAGAGACGCGCGCTTTCTTTGATGTTACACTTGAAGTGTGCTGTCTCGCCCGTCTGTATTTTCCTTACAAATGCTCTACGAAGTCATCATTTATGTGGTTTGGAATGCAGTGGACTTTATATTTAAAATATGAACCTCACTAACAGCAGGCTGCTTTCAATTTCAAATGCTGACGCGCGCTTTGTTTGTGAGACTGCTCGCGCATGCGGCTGTGCGACTCCGCGACTCCGTGTAGTGGTTTAATGTCAAGGGGGTAATCCACCAGCCGGAAACTGAAGTCTCAGCGGGGGCCGCCATTGGCTAACAAGCCTTCACCTGCTGTTAGCATCCCATTGACTCCCATTCATTTTTGCGTCACTTTGACAGTGAATAACTTTACATCTGAGGCGTTTAAAGACTCCATTTGTCCATTGTTTATTTCTAAAGAAACACGACAATGTATAAAAGGCTCCATTACCTTGTATCTTACGTTATGGCCCCGTAGAAGCAGTTTTTGTAAAAATAGGCTAACGATTGCGTCATAACACGCGACTCTCTGGCGCACACTAGAGAAATTACCGTATAGACAGAAATAGAAGCTCGCGCGCAATCGGGGGGACGTGGAGGCATAAAGTCAAGGGAGAAGCCCATAGAGTGTCATAAAGTTGCTCCTGCTGCGAGCTCATGGACAGCTAATACTCAAGAACTCCGGCTCTGCAAGATTCGGAAGGGAATGATTCAGATTCCTCTTGGGACAGCTACTAGAAGACGTACAAGTTGCTCACGTCACATCTACGTCGTCAAGCTCAGTTTGAGCCTGCGCAGTGCGCTTGGCAATCAGGAAGTGAGTGCTTCTAATTGACTTCACTTTTCTCCGTTGAAGTCTATGGGGTCGCTGTATCCATTTCTTTTACTGTCTATGTTTAATATAGCCTACTTGTGCAAAATTAACGTAAACACAGCCAGTTATGTCTTAAGGGATTAAACGGACAGGACACACCGCATTACTTCTTTTATTTCAAAAGAGATGCGTGCGTGAATGCAGCTTAATAGATCTCCCGCAGTCTATGATGTCATAGTAAAAAACAACAGTAAAGATGAAGAAAAATCACTCACAGTTCTTGAATGGAAAACGTTCAGATAATCTATAGGCTACTGAAAGCACTTTTTGTTTGTTGTTTGTTATATTTTTCTATGCTCCTCTTTATTATTTGTTATATTAGTTAGCCTATATTAGTTTAAAATTCTTAACATACAACTGTTTTAATAAAAAAACAATTAATTTGTAATTATTTTTTTAAAAAGTACTTAATTACTTATGTAAACTAAATAATTAATAAGGGAGGGAGGGAGGGGGGGGGGGGGGGGGGGGGGGATTCTTCCAGAAAGAATCGTTCTGGAATCGGATTGTGACTCCCAGAATCGGAATCGGATCGGATCGTGAGGTGACCAAAGATTCCCACCCCTAGCTAATACTGTCAAATACACACAAGGTTTACATAAACAAAGTCAGTTATGTCTAAAGCGAAAGCAAACTTGAGAAAATTGAGAGAAAATCTGCTTGTCAAATGCGTGTAGATTAGACGCGGCGCGCACAGCTCTTAAAGAGGCAGTAGCAATAGTAAACATGCTGCCGCTTGTCCTTAAAGAGATAGTTCACCCAAAAAAAAATGTATCTCATTATTTACGCACTATAATGTTGTTCCAAACCTGTATTAATTTCCTTCTAATATTTTTCTAATATTAATATTTTGAAGAATGTGGCTATCCAAACAGTAGCTCGTCCCCATTGACTTCCATGGGAGAAAAATATACTATGGAAGTCACTGGGGTACATCAACTGTTTGGTTACCCACATTCTTCCAAATAACTTTTATTTTCAACAGAAGAAATAAACTTATTCGAGTTTAAAAGAACTTGAGAGAGTAAATTATGACAATTATTTATTTTTTAGGAGAACTATCCCTTAAAAGTTAATAAAACAACAAAATGCAAAGAGAAAATCACTCACTCCTCTTGACTGATAACTTTTAATAGTAGCTTTAATAAGTATCATGTATAATTTATACAGTGAAGTCTATGTTTTGTTTTATGTTCATTTAATTACTTTCTTCAATGCTACTGTTAAATACACCTACTGTAGCTGAAAACATAAAGCACTGTTTATTTAATTTGTATATTAAGTTGTGTATGTGTAATGTGTATCATTGATCTTAATATTTAATAACAAAGAAAATAATGAAAAATGTTTTATCTTCGCCCCTGTCTGCCATTCTTTTTTATTTTATATTTTGTTACCTAAGGCTTTGTTTTTAAAATATGGACATTAGTTTGGCTGTAATGCTCAGTCACAAAATAGTAAAACCAAGAATCGTGATAAAATCGTGAATCGTGATTTTCCTGAAAAAAATCGTGATATGATATTTTTGCCATATCGCCCACCCCTACGCTATACTCATTCTGCCGTGGTGGTCCGCCACACCAAACATCATCCCGCCACGGCTGCAGCTTCTCAGTGAAGTCCGATATTGTGCACACTGTTGTGTTATTGTTAAGCCCCACTAAAGGCATACAAAATATTGTAAAGCACCATAAAGTTTTTGTGCAAAATATTCCAAGACTTCTAAAGTCATTCGATTGCATAATGTGAGGTAAAAATTAATATTTAAGTTGTTAAAACTGCAGTCGGCAAGTCTGGCAGATTGAGTGGATTTAGGAAAATTTTGAATGTTTACAACTCTCATGCCCCTCCCCCACTATCAACGGATACCCTCCCACAGTCCCACCGAGTTCGTACTCGTCAGTGCGTGTGCACCAGATTTTCAGTGAACGCGCCCGTCTCATCAGCATCCATCAACACCATGGAGTATTTGGAGGTATGCTGTCCTGGCTAATCTACCGATAGATTGCAATTGCTAACGTCATTTATACTCTAAATGAGGTTACTTGATTTTCCGCCATCACTCTTCGTTACTGCGCGAACTTCCGCGAACTTCAGGCGTGTGCATGTGATTGTAACGTGCGCGAGGGGTGGCGTGTGCCCGATCTGTGATTGACAGTCAGATCTCACACCCCCCTGCGCTGATTGGACCCGATGATCCGGGAGCTGTGGATTTTTGCAAAACAAATAACACGCTCCAGGTGGAGTTAGAAGCTCGGGTTTTTTTCTAAAACCACTTTATTTATGTTGTTCTGTCAGATTATAGTGTCGATTTCACTGAATATGATCAAAAATTTTTTGCCGACGGCAGCTTTAAGTTAAAGTTAATGGAAACTCATTTCTCCTCAGTCATTCTCCATTCAGCATTCAAACAGCGCGTCACGTTCGGTTACGACAGTAACACGATGACACTCTCTTCAAGATCAATGTTCCCACTATTATACTTTATTTGTAGATAAATGTCTATGTTTTGCATAAAATGACTTTGTCTTGCTGGAGTTTACTGCGCTTTCTAAATCATATTCCTTTCTTATTCATATTCATATTTAATTATGAACCAGGTGAAGAAACCTGTTTATTGTTTATTCATTTGATTCTGCACCTGTTTACTAAAATAGCCGGTTTCAATAAAACTAGGCTACTTGTGACGTCATATTTGGCTTTGACTTTGACTTAACATTTGCTCTCACTTTGCGTAAAAAATATCGGGATATGACTTTTGGTCCATATCGCCCAGCCGTCAGTCATGAGATCTTAATGAAGAGCTGCACGCTGCTTTGCAGAGGAATAATCGGAATCGGAATTTTTTAATGTTTTAAATGTTGAATGTTTTTATTGTTTCAGCATGTTTATCAATCTCCCATTTCTGTCAATATCATTGCACGCTATAACCTTAAACCCAGATGATCGATGATGTGACATGTTTAACATGATCAACCCCGTTATTTTTGTATGATTAACTCTGGAAGTATTCCTTCGTTCAAAAAACTTAATTTGATCTAAGACTGGAGATTGCACAGGAAAGTAAAGTGAGTCAGTGAAAGCAATTGGTACATTGTTTAATTGGTATCATCTTTACTCTTAATCTGGTGTTGTGCCACAGACCTAATTTAAATATTATGCAGGAAACAGAAATCCGATCGGTTATCCAGATACAGAGGCTGCTTAATTTGAATAAATGTAAACGCGCCATGTCCCGATTGGCTAATGATCTGATCTGCTTGATCGGATCACGGTGATTGCATGTTAATGCCAAGTGTAAATGCAGCCTTAGAAAACAGTGTAATAATGCGGTTCATGGATTCTCATCTGTGGAATGCGCCACTTCCTGGTATTTTGCCGGTTACTCAACACGGTAATGTCATGATTCTGCCATCAGGTCTGTGAGTTCTAGTATTTTGGCAGGATCATGACAGACCCATGTTCTGTGTGCAAGCACATGGCCTTGTGTTTTGGTCATGTGCTTGTGTTGTCTCGTCTCGTTACCCCGCCCCCTTGTTATCCTGATTCTGTCATTAGTGTTTCACCCGTGTCACCTGTTATGTTTGATTAGTCTTCCTATTTAATCCCCTTGTGTTTGCTGTCTTGTGTCGGTTCATTGTTATACGTTGATCGTGAGTACCCTGTGTACATCTAGTCATTGTTAGCATCGCTTGAAGTCTTGTTTGTTTTCTTGTTCAGTTGTTTCCCAGTTTAGTCTAGTCAGTGTGGTATTCTGTGTTCCATCTGTTTTGCCCCCTCGTGGGTTTTACTTTCTGTTTTGTTGTCATTAAACCGTGTCTTATTTTATACTGTCTGCGTTTGGGTTCATCTCTGTGTCTCACCGTGACAGAATGAACCGACCCATTCTGAACCCAGCGGACAGTATGTCATCCCCACTAAGACAACAATCAGCTGACCAGGAACTATGGTGGCAGTCAGCTATCAACGACAGCAAGTTGGGCAAGCTTCCTTTCCCTCCCCAGGGAGAGAGGTCCCTGAGAGGATATGCTCAGGCCGTGGAGGCAAAGAGAAATTTTTTACCGGAGAGCCTGGTTAACCGTTACCTCATCGCGGGTCTCAAAGTTCCTCCACCTCTGGCGGAACGGGAGAGGCTGGCCCACCGCCCGTTCCGGGACATGGTGGACTGCTTGGTTCGTCGGGAGTCACAGGGTCCCATGGTGTCGTCACCTCCTGCCTGTCTGCCGGTGATCCCGGAGGATCTGAGGTTAGGCTTCGTGAGGCTTGGAGAACAGACTCGTCCCAGTTCGACTCCCGAGGCATCATCGGCTCCGCGAATCAGGAGGAAGAAGAGGAGACCTGCGTCTGCCCAGCCAGAGCCAGTTCACGTCCCGTCTGTCCAGCTAGAGACTGTTCACGCCCCGTCTGTCCAGCTAGAGACTGTTCACGCCCCGTCTGCCTTCCTGAGCTGGGACTATCTGGAGCGTCTGGCTCGGATCTTAGAGAGGCCGGTGTTCGGTGTTTCGGAGCTGAACCCAGTGCCCGTTCCAGAGCCCGCTACGGCAAGCGCTGTTCCAGAGCCCGCTACGGCAAGCGCTGTTCCAGAGCCGGCTACGGCAAGCGCTGTTCCAGAGCCCGCTACGGCAAGCGCTGTTCCAGAGCCCGCTACGGCAAGCGCTGTTCCAGAGCCCGCTACGGCAAGCGCTGTTCCAGAGCCCGCTACGGCAAGCGCTGTTCCAGAGCCCGCTACGGCAAGCGCTGTTCCAGAGCCCGCTACGGCAAGCGCTGTTCCAGAGCCCGCTACGGCAAGCGCTGTTCCAGAGCCCGCTACGGCAAGCGCTGTTCCAGAGCCCGCTACGGCAAGCGCTGTTCCAGAGCCCGCTACGGCAAGCGCTGTTCCAGAGCCCGCTACGGCAAGCGCTGTTCCAGAGCCCGCTACGGCAAGCGCTGTTCCAGAGCCCGCTACGGCAAGCGCTGTTCCAGAGCCCGCTACGGCAAGCGCTGTTCCAGAGCCCGCTACGGCAAGCGCTGTTCCAGAGCCCGCTACGGCAAGCGCTGTTCCAGAGCCCGCTACGGCAAGCGCTGTTCCAGAGCCCGCTACGTCAAGCGCTGTTCCAGAGCCCGCTACGGCAAGCGCTGTTCCAGAGCCCGCTACGGCAAGCGCTGTTCCAGAGCCCGCTACGGCAAGCGCTGTTCCAGAGCCCGCTACGGCAAGCGCTGTTCCAGAGCCCGCTACGGCAAGCGCTGTTCCAGAGCCCGCTACTGCAAGCGCTGTTCCAGAGTCGGTCGCCGTGAGCGCGGCACCCAGTCCTGTCCCGTCACCAACCATGTTCCCCGTCAGAAGTCCCCGGACTGTCTCCTCGTGTGTCCCTGTCTCTACTGCCCCCGGACTCCCGTTTGTTTCCCCCGTCATGGTTCAACCTAGGACTGTTTCTCCGTCTACTCACACCACTCCACCCAAGTCCGTCCGGGTCCCCCGTCCTAAGCCCACACCCTGTAGTTCCAAGATCACCGTCCCGCCCACCCACCCTGGATTCTCGCTCAAAGACTCTGTTGTCCCTCCGCCTCCCCTTCCTTGTTTATTTTTTCTGATGTTTCACCCCAACCCGGTCATTGTTCACGCTTGTATGCCCCTGTTATTATTTGTCATGTTTTGTTGGGTCTGGTCTATGTCTCTGTCAGTCTTGTCCCGCGTTTAATGTCTCCTTGGGGAGCGTCTGGTAGCCGCTCTTTAAGGAGGGGGTACTGTCATGATTCTGCCATCAGGTCTGTGAGTTCTAGTATTTTGGCAGGATCATGACAGACCCATGTTCTGTGTGCAAGCACATGGCCTTGTGTTTTGGTCATGTGCTTGTGTTGTCTCGTCTCGTTACCTCGCCCCCTTGTTATCCTGATTCTGTCATTAGTGTTTCACCCGTGTCACCTGTTATGTTTGATTAGTCTTCCTATTTAATCCCCTTGTGTTTGCTGTCTTGTGTCGGTTCATTGTTATACGTTGATCGTGAGTACCCTGTGTACATCTAGTCATTGTTAGCATCGCTTGAAGTCTTGTTTGTTTTCTTGTTCAGTTGTTTCCCAGTTTAGTCTAGTCAGTGTGGTATTCTGTGTTCCATCTGTTTTGCCCCCTCGTGGGTTTTACTTTCTGTTTTGTTGTCATTAAACCGTGTCTTATTTTATACTGTCTGCGTTTGGGTTCATCTCCGTGTCTCACCGTGACAGGTAAATTGCAATCAAGGATTTTTTTTTTTTAAATCAAGTACTCTAATTTAATGGAGTAATCGTGACAGCCCTAATCAGATCTTTACATTTTAAAACTGTTAAGTTTCTTTAGTCATTTTTTACAAGTTCTGTAGCCAATAGACTCTGACCATCTCACCATCAGCACTGCAAAGAACGTCAGATGTGAACACAAGCACTTTATTGTGTTATTGTCGATTTTTACTGTCTCACAGCCGGACGTCGTCCATGTTAGATTTCCTTCAAAGAAAAGAGAGAGAGAGGAATGAAATATTTAAAATAAATTAGGTTTGTTGATGGGAACTGATCAAAACATCCATAAATAAATGTACCTTTGCCATCCCAAGAACTGCAAGACGCCTCACCTTCCTGTAAGAACATTTTTATTGTGCTTTCAAAGTGTCTGATTATTATATACATAAAGCTTTCGGAACAGAACCTTTATTACCAGATCTTTCTGTTTAAAGAACATTTCTATATTGTTGGTAAGGTCGGAGATATTGGCCCTCATCGTTATTCCATAAACCTCATTGTTTCAAACAGTGTAATTTTTAGTTTCATCCTAAATAAGAAATAGAGCAAATCAAATATAAACATGTTTGAAAACAATAGATCAAGAAACATTTGTTAAAAGAATAGTTTTAACACAAAAATGTCTCTTATGCTGTTACATTTTCACTGGAACACAAAAGTAGAATTTTTAACTCTTTTCAAACAACAATTCATAATCTCAAAGAGGATAAAAAACACCAAAGAAGCATCATAACAGGTAATAGTAATGACATAATGTACTAATATCCAGCCAGGTCAAGAGATTTGTGGAATGGAAAAGAAGATTTCATAATGGAAAAGAGATTAGTGTAAATGTATTCGGTGAACTTGGGTGTACATTTTTGGGTGAACTGTCCATAAACATTACTGAAATTTTTCAAACATGGATTTTTTTATTTATTGTGAGTACCTTTCCCATGTTTTTGAACCGTAGAACTCCAAGTAACGCACATCCATGGTTTTTCAGTCGCGATTTATTAGAGGCCTCGCTGGGAATCTTTACAGACCAGGGAATGTCTGTCTTCAGGTCACTTTGACAATTCGTAACCTGTGAAAAAAGAATTATAATAATAAATAAGAAATCATACCATGTTTTATTGTTTCTCAGGTCTTACGTTTATCCTTTTCGGATCGGAAGAGTAACATATGTCTCTGGTTTCTGTGTTTTAGTCTTGTATGTGAAGAAGACCAATAACATCCCCCATGACAATCCGTGCGTTGCTTATATTGTTCTTTTCCATCTCTTCCATCTTAGGCTCAAGATTGTCCAAGGCTTTTCTGCAAAAATTGAAAATCACCCTGTATTCTGTCATTTTAATTTTAAAAGTCACTGGTAACCACACACTTACGATGCTTTTGAGGGATTAATAGATCCATCCTTGTCTTTTAGATCATCTGTAGTTAGATTGTAAGTTGTCTCAGATGGTGTGACGCTGGTAGTTGGATTGTTTCTTGTTTTAGGTGGTGTGAAACAAACAATCCAACAACCAGTTGTCTTAGGTGGTTTGGAACAGGTAGTTAGATTGTTAGTTGTCTCAGATGGTGTGAAACTGGTAGATGGATTGTTAGTTGTCTCAGATGATGTGAAACTGGTAGTTGGACTGTTAGTTGTCTCAGATGATGTGAAACTGGTAGTTGGATTGTTAGTTGTCTCAGATGATGTGAAACTGGTAGTTGGACTGTTAGTTGTCTCAGATGGTGGGAAACTGATAGTTGGACTGTTAGTTGTCTCAGATGATGTGAAACTGGTAGTTGGATTGTTAGTTGTCTCAGATGCTGGGAAACTGGTAGTTGGACTGTTAGTTGTCTCAGATGGTGGGAAACTGATAGTTGGACTGTTAGTTGTCTCAGATGGTGGGAAACTGGTAGTTGGACTGTTAGTTGTGTCGGATGATGTGAAACTGGTAGTTGGACTGTTAGTTGTCTCAGATGGTTTGAAACTAGTAGTTGGATTGTTACATGTTTCGGGTGGTGTAAAACTAACAATCCAACAACCAGTTGTCTGAGATGGTGTGAAACTTGTTGTTGGATTGTTAGTTGTCTCAGATGGTGTGAAACTGGTAGTTGGATTGTTAGTTGTCTCAGATGATGTGAAACTGGTAGTTGGATAGTTAGTTGTGTCGGATGATGTGAAACTGGTAGTTGGATTGTTAGTTGTCTCAGATGATGTGAAACTGGTAGTTGGATTGTTAGTTGTCTCAGATGGTTTGAAACTAGTAGTTGGATTGTTACATGTTTCAGGTGGTGTAAAACTAACAATCCAACAACCAGTTGTCTGAGATGGTGTGAAACTTGTTGTTGGATTGTTAGTTGTCTCAGATGGTGTGAAACTGGTAGTTGGATTGTTAGTTGTCTCAGATGGTGTGATACTGGTAGTTGGATTGTTAGTTGTCTCAGATGATGTGAAACTGGTAGTTGGATTGTTAGTTGTCTTAGATGTTGTGAAACTGGTAGTTGGATTGTTAGTTGTCTCAGATGGTGTGAAACTGGTAGTTGGATTGTTAGTTGTCTCAGATGATGTGAAACTGGTAGTTGGATAGTTAGTTGTGTCAGATGTTGTGAAACTAATAATCCAACAACCAGTTATATCAGATGGTGTGAAACTGGAAGTTGAATTGTTAGTTGTGTCGGATGATGTGAAACTGGTAGTTGGATTGTTAGTTGTGTCGGATGATGTGAAACTGGTAGTTGGATTGTTAGTTGTCTCAGATGATGTGAAACCTGTTGTTGGATTGTTAGTTGTCTCAGACGTTGTGTAACTGGTAGCTGGCTTTTTAGTGGTATTGTATGACAATGGTGTGAAAGTAGTTGATCTTTCTTCAACACAGATGACACACATCCATTCTTCCCCATTAAAATGCAGAACATATTTACTTCCTTCTCCTTCAACACAAATAAATATATAAGAGATTAATTTTAATCTGTGCATTTGGATCTCAAAGATTAAAGGGATCCAATATATTGTTGTTTATTTATAAACCTATCCCTCTATTGTTATTTCATCATGCATATTCATCACAGTTGACATAGATCATTATTGATAATAAATGAGTCCTATAATATAGATTACACCTGAGAAGAATAAGAAGTTCCCCTTCAAGGGAACTCACGCTGCGCCGAAACGCTGTGCGAACCCCCCTGCATGATTGCACTGTGAAGCACGTATGGAATCAGTCCAATGGTGTGACAGAACGTCATAGGCGGGTGACGTCATCAACCAGGAAACTATAAAGCACACCTGAACAAAACAATGTCAGCTTCTTTGTCTTCAGCAAGCGCTTTGTGTTTGAATTTGTGTCCCTGGTGTTTTTTGTCTTTCTTTAGAAGTTGCTATGCAGATGTTTTCACCTATATATATTAATAAAACATAATGGCGAACGAACAACATTTCAGGAAACTTTACACATAGAAATATACTGTGTGTTGTTTATTTGGGAGTGCAGAATGCTCAGTCAGCTCGCGAGGGAGATGAATGTGAGCATTGTGAGCGACTACCGCTGAGAATGCTGCGGCTCGTGTACCTGGCAGCTCGGGTCCTTCTTCTGCCGAGGCAGAGCGGCGGCTCCAGTCGTGGTGTTTGCAAATAGATCTGGCAGATGGGTTAGAGATGGGCCTGGCCTTTTCTCTGCCTTCACCTGCCAGGTCCAGTTCCTCAGTTCAGTCTCCTGCATGTGAGGAGCTCCACACTGAGGTGTTAAAGTCGTGGAAGAAACCAGCTTCTTACCATGTATTTAGTCCACACATCTACCTATTCAAACATTCATGGGCTCAAACAATACGGTTATGGGGCGATGCCCAGGGCTGAAGAGACGTTGGGGAGCTATCTCTCCCCTTAGTCAGCATCATCCCTCAAAGCACTGGCATTACCCACCAAGCCTCTCAGAGCTACTTCGGCTTTGGTGGGTAAAGCATATTCGCTGGCAGGTCAGGCTGCGGCTTGTCTGCACACAATGTCAATTCTGCAGGCATACCAGGCCGACCTGCTCAAAGACATGAGTACAAGCGAGGAGGTCCGCACTCGAATTACATCAGGCTGCAGATTTGTCTCTCCGGGCCACAAAGGAGACGGCCAAGTCATTGAGCCGTTCTATGGCAGCCCCGGTAGCCAGCCACGGAGAGGCATCTCTGGCTGAACCTTGCAGGAATGAAGGAGCTTCCTTCTTAACGCCATGCTCTCTCCTGCTGGCCTCTTCGGTGACGCAGTTAATTTTGTCATCGAGGTATTTCAGGAAGAAGCAGGCGGCGGCGTTCCAGAAATTTCTGCCTCGCCGAGCTCATGTCTCGGGGGCTGCTGAGTGGGAGCAGCCCCAGCCGTCATCCAGCTCCTCACATATCATTAGTGGTTTCTCAGTTCAAGGCCTGTGGTGGGACCATCATCTCTTATCTGACTGAGCATTCTGCACTCCCACATAAACAACACACAGTACATGTGTATGTGTAACATTTCCTGAAATGTTGTTCGCTCGCCATTGTTTTTTTAATTTATATATATATACGGTATAGGTGAAAACATCTGCCTAGCAACTTCTAAAGACAGACAAAAAACATAAGGGAGACCAGCATTTTCACTGAAAATTTTCACTGAAAATGCTGGTCATGTTTCAAGCTTTGAAATACTTCCTCCCAGACCTGAGGGACCAACATGTGTTTGATCGTACCGACAACACATCAGTGGTCTCCAACTTAAGCCATCAGGGGGCTCTGCGGTTGCACCCCTTATTCAAGCTGGCTCAACAGATCCTCCTATGGGCCCAAGGGAAACTGCTCTCTCTGAGGGCAGCATGTATTCCGGGGTATTTAAATCAGGTTGTTGAGGCAGGGGCCGAGGCCCGGGGAATGGAGACTCCACCCCGAGGTGGTACAGCTCCTATGGAAAACTTCAGTTGAGTGGAAGTAGATCTGTTCGCATCTCAAAAGACAACAAACTGTCCACTTTGGTTCTCCCTCACTCAACCAGCCTTTTGGGCTGGACACTATGGTACAGATGTGGCCAAGGCTACGTCTGTACGCTTTTCCCCCGATAGCTCTGCTCCGGGGAGTTCTGGAGAGAGTTTGCTGAGACGGGGCCTGACTTCTGTTAGTAGCCCCATTCTAGCTGGCCCGAGTATGGTTCTCAGACCTAGTGTCTCTCCTCTAGCGCTCTCCTCTGGAGGTTCCACTCAGGGGGGACCTTCTCTCTCAGGCGAGCGGGTTGATCCTTAACCTCTGCCCAGAATTAGTGGAAACTTTGGGCTTGGCCTCAGAGGGAGCCCAGCTCATAGGCACCCGTTACCTTTGTGACACTTGGAGATTTGGCCATTGTTTTGGAGGGCCTTTCCTTGGCTCCCTTTGAGCCTATTGAGGAAGTTTTTGAGAAGTTTCTCACACTAAAGACTGTCTTTTCTCCTTGCTATTACGTCTCTCAAAAGAATCGGAGACATTCAAGCACTCTCTGTATCTCCCTCGTGCCTGGAATTTGCACCCGGTATGGTAACATTGACACAGACTGTTGTAACATGGCCTGAGGGTGCCTCTCAGCAGCTGCAGGACTGCTTTGATACAACCAACTGGGACATCTTTGAACATCAGGACCTGGAGGTGTTCACGGACAGTGTATTATGCTACATTAGGAATTGCATGGACACTGTCACAGTGGACAAACGGATCCGGGTCTACCCCAATCAGAAGCCATGGATGACCCGGGAAGTCCAGAAGCTGGTAAAGGAGAGGAACATCGCCTTCAGATCCAGAGACAGGGCTCTCTACAGCACGGCACGATCAAACTTAAAAAGAGGCATCAGAGAGGCCAAATCGAACTACAGGAGGAGGATTGAGGAACATCTGGGCAGTAACAACAGCAGGCAGGTGTGGCAGGGAGTCCAGCATCTGACCAACTACAGGGCTAAACTCGGAGCTGCTGAAGGTGACATCTCGTTGGCAGAGGAGTTGAACCTCTTTTTTGCCCGTTTTGAGATGACACCACCAGAGACAGCCACACCACAGCTCACAGCAGCTTAAGTTTCACAGTGGAGGAGCATGAGGTGAGGCGCACACTGCGGGCCATCAACCCGAGGAAGGTTACAGGGCCTGATGGCGTTCCGGGACGAGTGCTGAGGGACTGCGCTGACCAGCTGGCTGGAGTCTTTACCAGGATTTTCAACCAGTCCCTGGCCCAATCCACTGTCCCACCCTGTTTGAAGTCCTCCACCATAGTCCCCCTACCCAAGAAACCCCATATTTCCAGTCCCAACGACTATCGACCAGTTGCACTCACACCTGTGGTGATAAAATGCTTCGAAAAACTGGTCCGGAGGCACATCACAGCACTCCTGCCTCGAGGCCTTGACCCCAACCAGTTTGCCTACAGAGCGAACAGATCCACAGAGGATGCCGTAACCACAGCCCTCCATACTGCACTGACCCATCTGGAGCAGCAGGGGAGCTATGTGCGGATGCTCTTTGTGGATTATAGCTCAGCATTTAATACCATCCTCCCACACAAACTAGTGGCCAAATTGAGGGACTTGGGGCTGCCACACACCACCTGCACATGGATCAACAGCTTCCTCTCTGGGCGTAGACAGAGGGTCAGAGTGGGTAATCACACATCTACGGCCTTAAGCCTCAGCACCGGCTCCCCCCAGGGCTGTGTGCTGAGCCCCTTGCTCTATTCCCTATATACATATGACTGTACCCCAACCCACCACGGCAACACCATGGTGAAATTTGCTGATGACACCACAGTGGTGGGGCTCATTTCTGGGGGGAACGAGTCTGCCTACAGGGATGAGGTGGAGCGGCTGACAGTGTGGTACAGCGATAACAATCTGCTTCTGAACACCGCAAAGACCAAGGAGCTCATTATAGACTACAGGAAAAAGAAAACAATCATTCAACCACTTATTATCAATGGGGACTATGTGGAGCGGGTGGCAGACTTCAGCTTCCTGGGAGTCCACATTGAGGAGGGTTTAACCTGGTGCAAGAATACCTCTGAGCTAATAAAAAAGGCCCAGCAGAGACTTTATTTCTTGAGAGTACTCAGGAGGAACAACATCACACAGAGGTTGCTGGTGTCCTTCTATCAAGCCTCCATAGAGAGCTTGCCAATATACTGTATGTGCGTGTGGTACACCAGCTGCACAGTGGCACACAGGAAAGCGCTCCAGAGGGTCATCAACACCGCACAGAAGATCATTGGTTGCCCTCTCCTCACACTGGTAGAACTATACAGTTCCCGCTGCTTCAAAAAAAATCCAAAAAATTTTAAATGACACCTCTCACCCAGGCCACCCCCTGTTCGAACTGTTACCGTCAGGCAGACGGTACAGATCCATCAGGGCAAAAACTAACAGACTCAAAAACAGTTTTTACCCATCTGCAATAACTGTAATTAACGCTGCTAAAGTGAACTGAACTGATTGCAGGATTGGTGCAATATGTGTGACTGTGTATGTGTATATGAATGCCTGTTCAGGCTGCTTTTCTTTTAGATACTATTTATTTACTGTTTTTTTAATTATATTAGGAATGATGCACTGGCTGGTCAGCACTTTAAAATCTTTGTGACAATGACAATAAAGTTTTCTATCTATCTATCTATCTATCTATCTATCTATCTATCTATCTATCTATCTATCTATCTATCTATCTATCTATCTATCTAAAGGCTTTTCTTTATCCTGGACTGGGTTATGTTCCTAAGTTTCCTACTAATATTGTAAGACCTATAGTTCTGACGACCTTCTGTCCTCCTCCCTTCCGGACGTCAGACCAAGTGAAACTAAATCTGCTTTGCCCAGTTAGGGCCCTAGATACTTATGTCCACAGAGCTGCCATGTGGAGGAACTGTTTGTTTGGTTGGGTCACCCAGAAAGTGGTCCCTAGCATCTAAGCAGGATGAGCAAGTGGGTGGTCGAGGCCATCTCAGTTGCTTATGAGTCGGCCGGTCAGCCCTCACCTTTGATTGTGCGGGCCCACTCTACTAGGAGTATGGCTGCTTCCAAAGCATTACGGTCAGAAGTTTCTCTCCAAGATGTTTGTGATGCGGCAGGCTGGTCCTCACTGCACACGAGGTTCTACGACCTTGACCTCAGCTCCACTCCAGGGGCGCAGATGCTTTCATCTGAATATGCACACTGACCTCACACAAACAGACACTTGCTCCTATGTCAGCGTGGGTAAAGCGTTTTAACGCAGCTCGAGTTCCCTTGAAAGGGAACGCCTCTGTAACGTATGTAACTTTAGTTCCCTGAAGAGGGAGCGAGGCGTTGCGTCACCCTGCCATACTCCCGGCATGCACGTGATTGACTTTGCTTCAGCCTATCAGAAGCTGACATTGTTGGTACAGGTGTGCTTTAAAGTTTCTTGGTCGATGACGTCACCCGCCTATGACGTTCTGTCAGGGCATTGGACTGATTCCATACGTGCTTCATGACGCAATCACGTAGGGGCGTTCCCACAGCGTTTCGATGCAGTGTCTTGTTCCCTCTTCAGGGAATTAAGGTTGTATATGTAACCGAGACGAATTGTGTTCACTTTTCTATTTATTTGGTATATGATCAATAAATAAATGTACATTTAAACCAGTGCTTCTCAAACCTGTCCTGGTAACACCCAGCACTGATCTTCCTCATCAAACACACATGATTCAACTCATCAGCTCATTAGTAGAGACTGCAAGGCTTGAGAGTTGGGTGTGTCTGATGAGGGAAGTATCCGGAAACTGCAGTGCTGAGGACAGGGCAGATCTGAGAGGCACGGGCAGCTGGCACACACTAAAAAGGTTTGGATGAAGTTGTGGAAATTGTTATGCATTTTAATTTATTTTAATTCTAATTTAACAAAACATAATTCAATTCTAATATAACATCTTGCCAGTTACTGGTTAATGACTGGCATCGGTTAGGGAAAAAACTAAATTAACATTTCTAACGGTTGTTTCACCAAGTACAGTGTAAATGCAGATATCGGATATAGGTCCCTTTTAAAAGAAGATGCAATCTGATACAGAATACGGAAATGCCTGAGCTGTAATAAGTAAAAAGCGGAATTCGTTGTGCAAGTAGTCCATTTTGCGATGTACACCTCTCTCAAATTGTGAATTTGAGTATGATTGTGGAAAGTAAATGTATTTGTGTATGTATGCAATTGTTCTACTTTTATATACTGTTCAATGAGCTCTGGTGTACTTCCAATAAAAGATACTGTACCTAATATTATATGATAACAAATACCAGTTTGCAATATTAAGCAGCTTAACAGGCTGATTTTGTGCAGTTAAAAAAATGGAAGCAGATTACGCAAATCTTATGTGAAAAATAAGGTGGTTAGTTTAGCTAGTTTAGGATTGTTTTAGCTTACAAATCCGAGACAAAGAGCAGTGGAATGAAAAAACACAACTGATGTAAAGTGATTGTAACAAATAAATATGTAATATTCACAGTCTACCTGGATTTGTTGATGTCACACAGACTTGGAGATTGGAGTTTTCTGAGCTGTCTGCACAAATACAACATATAAGGCCACTATGTAATGATGTTAACATTTTAATTTTTTAAAGCAACATACTTATCTGGCAAGAAGCACAACAGACGATCATCAGCCACAGCAAATTCTGCTTTTGTTGAGACATAATTCCCCAAAACAGCCTGAGAGAGACACGAGTTGAATTTTCTTTTCAACAGATGTTAGTAATAAATCTTAAAGCATTTTCTTATTACATTCTTGAGATGAAACGTCCACAGTCCAAGAGGAGAGAGAGTTTCATCCGTTCACTTATGAAGCCGTATGATTATGATCCTCAGCTCAGAGCCGCTGGAACACTGACATAAAGTTAATTTGCAAACATGAAAATCCGGACTATTTGGGTTTTAACTGAATTACAGTATTTTCTGTGTTTTGCATTTTCCATAACCAAATATGATCCAAATCCGTGTGTTTGATCAAGGAAATATCTTAATCCACTGGCGTGTGACTTTAGTTTCATCAGGAAGATGTAAATTTGTTTTCTAAAACAGGTGCAGTAGTTTGTGTCTCTCTGACATACATAAACATGGATTATAACTCTCAATAAATCTAACAGCAGTAATATTCATCACAATTTAATGTCACACACCAAACAAGACGGTTTCAGTAACGATCATCACAGATATTTGTCATTTATTTTCATTGATTTCAATAAAGTTGCACTAATTTCATAATTTATACATAATTTTAAACAGTTCTCACTAAAGATTATAAACATAACATCATATAAACATTTGTCTTTGGTGAAAATGTAATTTTAAATACAGTTAAAATACAGTTAAACAGCAGCTCAGTTTAAGAAATCAGTCTGAGAAAGTCCTGGAGACAAAGGGCCCTATTTTAACGATCTGAAACGCAAGTATCAAACGCGAAACACAAGTAAATTTGTGGGTGGATCTCGACGCAAATCTAAAATGGGTTGGTCTGAAGTAGCTACATTACTAATACTTGTGGTTTGGGCGTAACGTGCAATAAACCAATCAGAGCGTCTTCTCACATTCCCTTTGACCGACGTTCTCGTCAGGGCCGTAAAAGACAGAGAAGTGACGTTGTATGGGGATTGGAGAAACCCACCCAAATTAGCTTTGGCTATTTTTTCACATCTTCATGGACACCACAATGTAATAATGTATGATTTGCAAAAATGGGAACTGCTGCGTCTGTGTAGATGAGAGAAGCAAAGTGTATGCGCGTTGTGCACACAGTACAGTATGGCCAAGGATGCGCCCTTAAAATTACATCTACTGTAAATAACGCGCCACTGACTTTAGACTAGGTTTTTCCTGGTCAGTGGCGGAATTGTTTTCTGGAACTGCAAAATAGCACCAGGGAATGTTTGCGCTGGAACATGCCTCCTTTTTCGCTGAACCGCCCCGGGAGCGCAAGTTCATTCCCTAATTTACTGACGTGTGTCTGTGGAAGGAAAGGTCCGCAGTGCGCCGGGTGCAAAATAGAAATGATAGATGCGTCGGTGTACAAAGTCAATTGCGTTGGGTGCAAGATAGGGCCCAAAGACAAAACCTTAATTATGCTAATTTTAAATATTTTCCACAACATCAATGCTGGATTGAATGATGGTTGTGGTGGAGCTGGAGCTTCCTGGATCATCAGAGAAATGTCCTGCAACATCATTATGAATGTGGTAGTAATACAGGAAGAGGAGAAACCCTGAAAAAACAAAACAAAAAAAAAAACGATAAGAGAAACTTGTTTTATCTAATTTAAATACATTTAATATATCATTAAAGGTGCAGTATGTAAAATTGACAGCTAATGGTTGAACTGGGTATTGCAGTCCAAATTCTAAATATTGGAGAGGGTCTATATTATAGCTCTCTATGCAAAGCATAGGCTACTTTATTTAAAATGGCGCGGGAGTATTTTGAACAGTAGCTAAACGGAGCGGACAGATCACAGTGTTTTTCAGAGAAATATGTATGTGAACGCATGTTTCTTAAATATCTCCAAACATATTATGGTATTTTTATGCTTTAGTACAGTCAAAAACTTACATACAGTACCTTTAAAGTCATTTGCATCATTTTTAAAATGTAACCAAAGATAAACTTTGGGCCAAATGATTTTGGTCAAATTGATTGTTACAATAGCTGCTACTACAAACCCTTATAATCAATAAAAATAATAAAATAAAATAAATGAATGAATGAATGAATGAATAAATAAATGAATAAATAATATTTTTGAAATATAACTTTAATAAAATAATAATTATATATAAAATAAACAATTACGTACGTATAAATAGAAGCATTCTCCTAAACCAAATGTAATGATGTATAGCATGTGATTGTTTCTCACCCTGAAACGAGTTCAACACGGTGAAGATGTAATATGAGGGGATGAGCATCGGTCCATAACTGAAGAACGCCACAGCCCACGTCAGGCCGAAGAGCAGGAACAAGCTCAACACCATCATGAGCTGCTTTCTGAACGTCTTTCTCTTGCCGTTAGCCACTTTTATGTGTCGGGCTTGGACAATCTTAGTGACGATCATGATGAAGATTCCTGTCGTGGAGATGAAGACTAAAGCGTAGAAGCCAATGTTCACTGTGTAGTGAATTAACGGATCTGTAATCCAGCACCTATAATTAGAAGAGAAGAGACGATGTTGACATGTTAAAAGCTTCATTATTTCATGCATTTGTGACATCAAAACAACTTACATTCGTGTGGTTTTTCCAGATGTTGCTTTTATAATCACTTCGTTATATCCTCGTAATGAAACAACAGCTACGACTATTGGAGCCGGAAACACTGAAAGCACACAGAGACAAGGGTTACTATTGGTAACTAATATCACCTACACAGCAAAATCCCCAGAGTTAAATTAACTCTGCTCAGAGAACATTTGGTCCCTCTCTACAGAGAGTTAAAATAACTCTGAATCAGAGTTAAAGTTAATGAGATACTTAAGTGATTAATTAAGTGATGATTGGGCATTAATGATGAACACCTGCTGTCAACAAGCAGAATCACTGAAGGAAAGAGAAACAACAAGAACAGGAAAAAAGATAAACACAAGAACTACAACTGACTTCTAGCCACAGCCTTAGATGAAATCAAATGTAGACAAAAGACATTAAATCTCTCTAGTTCTCAGCAGAGGAGGATTAAACAACTCCACAAACAGCATTACCAGCTTCACTTATTACTAACCAGACTGACTTTATTTCTGTTAAGTCTACAGAAGGTCTTATTGAGAATTAACAGAAGTTTAGATGTTGATGATTTATTGAAAATGTTTGATCACCATTATGGCGATGAGTGTTTCCTTTAGTTGGTCAGATTTGACTCTTGGCTTTTATTCTGAGTTTGTGGTTTTTGTAACAGATTTTACCAAAACATGTAGTTTGTTACAAAGAAAGCCAAAAACAATGATGATCAGGTGATATAGTTTTCAACAACAAAAAATAGAATAATGCACTTATCTCAATGCAATGCATGCTGGGAGCAACAATAATATAAAACGTATGGCTCCCAGGATGCATTGCGGCATGAAGCATATTACCATTGTTGAGATTAATATGCTGATTCTTGATGTCTGTGTCTTGGAAAAAAAAATCCCCATAATGTATTTTAAAAGTCAAAAATCAGAATGTCCGATCTGTGGCAAGAGAGTATTGTTAGTGAATATAATGTACTAATATAATGTATTAACATCATATAACCACTTTTGGACAGTGATGAGATAAGTGCATTATTCTATTTTTTGTTGTTGAAAACTATATCACCTGATCATCATTGTTTTTGGCTTTCTTTGTAACAAACTACATGTTTTGGTAAAATCTGTTACAAAAACCACAAACTCAGAATAAAAGCCAAGAGTCAAATCTAAACCAACTAAAGGAAACAGTCGTCGCCATAATGGTGATCAAACATTTTCAATAAATCATCAACATCTAAACTTCTGTTAATTCTCAATTAGACCTTCTGTAGACTTAACAGAAATAAAGTCAGTCTGGTTAGTAATAAGTGAAGCTGGTAATGCTGTTTGTGGAGTTGTTTAATCCTCCTCTGCTGAGAACTAGAAAGATTTAATGTCTTTTGTCTACATTTGATTTCATCTAAGGCTGTGGCTAGAAGTCACACTGTAAAAAGTGAATATGGGTGTAAGTTGGATTACTAGAACTATTTGAGTCTATGTAGTTCGTATTTCTGCTTTCCTAATCGTAATTGATTATTGTACACTCATTCAACTTGAGCGCATAGAAATTCACTGACACTCAAATATCTCACTTTCACCCAAAGTATAATTTCCCTTTAAGGAACCCTGCGTCAGACTTTTTTTTTCTGACGTCATGACGCACAACCGCCATTTTCTTTTTCTCTCGCACTCGGATGAATAAGGTAGGTTGGAAGTTTGTTTTAATTAATATACTTGAATATGCAACTTTTGGACGTGTGTATAGTTGTTTATGAGTTAATTAATGTTGTTTGTGAACATGAATACTAACGAAATCGTAATTAACCGAATTTTTGAACGTACGTTTGCGAAATAGCGTTACTGAATAATGTTCTATGGATACAGGATGTTGTATTTACTCGTTTGTTTGATAAAAAATGTGTTCAGTTTGGATCTTGGGAGTATGTGTATAACATAATTTTTAAAATTGATGCCTCCTTAACTGTCTGTGCCGCGCGAGATATTGAAAATGCTTTGGGCGGGAAGTGCTCGGGGAGCGGGACAAAATGCACGAATTTGAATTTCTGCAGTAGCCTATTGAGTTTGATTTTCAAGTAATGCTTGTCTGTTCTTTTATTTGTCTTTGAAACGTTAGCTCTGATTTATTCATCGACTTTTTTCGCCTAAAATGATTGAAAGTCTGTGATAAAAGTCATCACATCAGCTCTACAGCTTAGATTCTCTGCCCGAGCCCGAACTTGTCGGGTCGGGCCGATATTTCCCGTCACTATCCTCAAGCCGGGCCCTTGATCTAGAGACGTGCATTCCCAACGAGTGCGCCGCGGGACTAAATTTGATGGCCGGGCGCGGGCGGTAATGCACTCACTCTGTGTGCGAGTTGTGGGAGAATAAAACGAAACTAGAAATATCTATGAATAAAACATATAAAAACGAATACATTTTTATTTTTGTTTCATCCGCCTAGCTCGAGGTGTTTCATCCAGGAAAAAATATCAGGGGTTTCTTTAGTAAAAAAATATGATTTTTTTTTGTAGAAATAGTAGTATTTTCAAAACTAATTAATTACTTGGCCTGTAGCAAATCATTTTCTACCACTTAAGTTAAATACTACAACATTTTTCTCCCCTTAGGACCGAAAGCTTTTTTCATGTTTGACAACTGAGGACGACGATTGCTATAACGTTACATGGTAAGTAATTTCTATTAATTTAAGTAATGCAGAAATTCTTCAAATTTTGGATCAGGTACGTCTGTGTGTTTTACATTAATATCAACTAAACAATCTTATTTTAGTTACAGTATGTTCAACAGTAACATTTAATTGTTAGGCTAAATACTTGTTTTATAGCTTTGAAATTGTCATAACCACCCAATCAAAATGGACAATTTAAAAGTGATAGTCCACTCATACAATAAAAAAATGCTGTTAATTTACTCACACCCTCCGGCCATCCAAGATGTAGGTGACTTTTTTCTTCAGTAGAACAGTAAAGAAGGTTTTTTTTTTTTTTTTGCTGAAACTGTGTTCCATGGTGATTAATATATAATGCAAGTCAAAAAGAGTCACAAAAAGAAAACATACAGGCAAAACAAAATTAATACCTGTGGGTCCTGACGATTCATTGAGGTTTAAGGTTCATTGAAGCGAAACGATCGTTCTATGGAAAAAACTGAACATTATTTACAACATTATTTCTTGTGATTACCTGTGAATAATGTTGCATGTTAATGTTCTTGTTTCTTGCACAGACTGATTGTTTCAGTTCCTAAGACCTCGATGTATTGTCTGGAGCCACGTGTACATACATTTATTTATTTTTTTGATTCTCAAAAGAGACGGTAGCCATTGACTTGCATTATATGAACCACAGAGGACTACGGTTTCAGCTAAAAAAGTGCTATACTAAAGAAAACAATATTCTATTTTGAACGGTAACGTAGACATCAGTGTTTACTGTATATCTGAATAATGATTTTTGTATAATTCTGTGATGTATATACTTTGGCCAGTCATTAATACAAACTTTTATGGTTTTTTAAATGTTTATATTTTCTTGTCCTTTGCCATCCTCTGCGAAATCTGATTCTCTATTACAGATTACTCAGAATTTTAAAAATAAGAAAAATATTCACAATTGCTTTTTCACAGACTGAAAACATTCACACAAAAAGAGTGTCCTGAAGGCCCTCATTGTTTTCCTGGGGGGAAATCCTCAAGACCTCATCAAGAAGTACCTTGTGAGTTGAAATTCCGCATATATTCTATTTTGATTTTATTTTTCAGAAAGTTTAAATTTGTGTTTTGTAGTTATGAACGCAAAATGTATTTTTTTTTTTTATGTACACTACTTTAGGAGAACCAGCGAGATGATTGCGAGGGTGAGATGGAGCACCTCACCACCTCACCACCAACACAAAAGAAGATGTGTTGAAGAATGTTGGTAACCAGACAGTTGAAGGTACCTATTGACTTCCAGTATATTTTTTTTCCTGCTATGGAAGTCAATGGGCGCCGTCAACTGTCTGGTTACCAACATTCTTCAACACATCTTCTTTTGTGTTCAGCAGAAGAAAGAAACTCATGCAGGTTTGGGACAACTTGAACCATTTTTAGGTAAACTATCCCTTTAATTGTTTTTAGGGCATAGGGCATAACCACTATGTTTTTATATTTATTTTTATAAATGTATTAGTGGCTCAGTTTTGAGCATTATGCTGTGCAAAGACAACTTTGCAAAAAGACTGTTAATGGAATGGATGTTAAGTGTGTCAGTAAATTAAATTTCATTGGCACAACAAATATGAACAGTTTGTAATGATTTCTCAAAGTTTGTAATATGAAAAATACTGATGGCGTATAAAATGAATTAATGTTAATAAATATTTATAAAGCAATTTGAGTCTTGTGTGATTGACCTGGTGAAATTAAGTTGAGAAAATATAATAATTTAAGTTGAGAAAACGTACTTTTTTTAGGTGTTACCAATTGAAGCAATTTTTTTAAGTTGATCCAACTGTAGGAAAACTTAATACATTTAAGTTGGAATGCAGTGAAATTAAGTCAGACCAATGTAAATAATAGGATTGAATGAACTCAAATAATTTAAGTGTGATTGACCTAGTGAAATGAAGTTGATAAAACGTGATAATTTAAGTTGAGAAAACTTAATTTTTTTAGGTGTTACCAATTGAAGTATTTTTTTTAGGTTGATCCAACTGTTCACTTTTTACAGTGCAGTTGTAGTTCTTGTGTTTATCTTTTTTCCTGTTCTTGTTGTTTCTCTTTCCTTCAGTGATTCTGCTTGTTGACAGCAGGTGTTCATCATTAATGCCCAATCATCACTTAATTAATCACTTAAGTATCTCATTAACTTTAACTCTGATTCAGAGTTATTTTAACTCTCTGTAGAGAGGGACCAAATGTTCTCTGAGCAGAGTTAATTTAACTCTGGGGATTTTGCTGTGTATAAATATGAATATGAATATAAAATACTAAAATAACACTGATGGAGACAAATTAATTTTGTTGAGTGCTCAGATGCTCTTTAAAGGAACAGATCAAGAAAAGGACAAAAACACCATAAAAGTATCATGAGAGGAGTTCATATGT